AATCACACCTCCTATCCATGCCCTCTGTTTCCAGCCTTGTAATATCCTCTTCCAAAAAAAGACTTTTATATGTGGTATCTGCGGGGGCTTGGGAGATTCTTTTGGTAGAAATCCGGCCACAGGTAAGTCCCTTTCCAAGCATCCTGTTACCTCAGGCACCCACTTTTGAGCACAACTCCAGCTGAGTACGACTGCACTGCTTGGGTAATGCCTGGTCACTTCTTGTAAAGGCTCCCTGTTATTGACTGCGCATAGTGACAGCAACAGGTAGGGAACACTTGCATTTTCAGACCACTTCTTCTGTATTTTTTCGCCCATTTGCTGAACTAAATTGAGTTAAGGATTCTTGGCACTCTATCCCCCCAAAATGTCCCTTAAGTCTCAAATAACGTGACCACCTGAACTTTCATAAATACTTCTTAGTTTTCATACACCTGCAAACTGTTCAAGATGCACAAAGCAAGTGGTAGCTTAACCACTGTGCACTGTGCATAGGGCCTCAGGATACGCATGTTTTCATTTCCTCCTGCATTTTCTAGATCATCAGTGGAGAAGTCAGTTTTGAAACATTATTAAATCAAATAACCTTTTATTTAATAAGCCCTCCTCCTTCTGGGATAAGTCAATTAAACGGTCATGTCCAGACTTTTTATGAAATCCCTCCGGAATTTGGCCAAGGAAGAGTATTAGCCATACTGAAAAGCAAAGATTTTGCATCTAAGAAATGTGTAATTCAATCAAATCTACAAAAACAGAGTTTTAGACTCCTTAACTGTAAAGGCAAAAGTATTACTTTCAAATAAACCACATTCATTTTTTTTGAATATGACCATCAGCGACATAAAACCCTAATTACTCCTTCAAACTAGACCTACCTTGAAGTAAGAGCAGTAGAAAATACAAAATTAGTTACAAGTAACTTTACAATTGGGTTTCTAACAGAGGCAGCTCTGGATAGACTGCTATCATTTACCTAATGTGTTAAACCAGAGGGGAATATTTCTTAAAAATAAAAGGGTTGGGTTGTGGGGATCTCTAGTTATAGCAATGAGTATAAATAAAGAGTAAGGACTGTTCAATATGCAGCCTTTGGCCAATATGAGTGTACTCTATGATCTAAAATGGCAGAGTAAGAATGAGTCTTGAAACTATTAGGGCTTTTTCGTAAATATTTCAGATATTTTTCAGTTTTTAAAAAAATGAATTTCAGATAAGCCAGAAAAAAAAATATGGTAGTATCTGAATAAAAATGAAGTGCTGGTCTTCTATTCATCACTAGTATTTGATTTTTCTAGGCATGTCACACAACTTCAATAAGTTGTCAACATCAGAGGCTCTCTCAAACCTGGGAGAAGGGAAAGGTTAAAGAAACTGAGAGGAGATATTCTGTCTCTGATGATAAAGGAAAAGACCATGTCTATTTTTTCAAGTTTCTAGTGCATTGGTTTGCAAGGACATATTGTGACATATTGTGACACTTTGTTACCATTCAATATTTACAAAGATTTTTTTTCAGTTCCTAATCAAATAAACTCCCATAATCTCCACTGACTTACTCCAGCTTCTTTCCTTTCAGTGAAGAAATCTTCTTCTATGTTCCTAGGTTCATTAATGTAAACCCAGTGAATAAATTCAACTGCATGCATTCAGCTGTACTACAGAGAAGCTAGCACAGCTGAGAGATCACTCTTCATCACCTCTGTTATATTCTTATTTGTGGTGGTCTTAGAGAAGTACAAAGGGAGATAAATATATCTGCTCTCATCAGTACAGCTATATTTGGAAGGTCTCATGTGATGTAAGTTTTCAAGTGAGGTAAGTTAAATCACTACAGAAAACAAAAACCCAAACCCAAACCTTCCCCTCTGCTTAACTCCTGCAACACTGAGAGAAAATCGTCATGTCCCATAGTCGTCTGTGGGTCAGTGTGTCCTGCAGAAAATTACAAGAGACTTTGTGCAGCATTTGCAATGCTGCTTTAAACAAAGTAATAGTCCTCCTTTGCCCTGGAGTTGCTCTTGAACCTCAATGAACCTGACACAAAGGGACTTTATCTGGCAGCACTGGCTGTGGAATGAGTGGGCTAGTGGGAAGGGTGTAGCAGAAAACACCAGAAAGGAAATGGGAACATGAGGCATGTTGCAAACATAATAAGCTAGTCTTGCTTGATTCAGATCTCAAACCCTAAAGGTGTGAGCTTTTTAAAAATAAAGCTTGATCTTAAAAAGAGACCATCTCCTTGCAACCGAGACTCTCTGAAATCTTCTTGAGTTTATTCTGGACCTGACAGGCAGCAGGGCTGGTGTATTTGTGTCTTTGTTCCTTCTCTGAATGCTGCATTTTCATTCACCATCCTTTCCCCTGGAAAGAACTAGATAAAGTGTGATTGATTGCCTGTTTGGTCTACTGCAAATTATCTCATTTAAAATGTTAATTTGGACACATTTATGCTCAGGTGAGAGAGCACAATTTAAAGAGCTCTTTCCTTGGAGTGTGACATCGCAGAGCCTCCCTCTACTCCAAAGTTCACTATGACCATGAGGGTCTCATTCAACTCGAGGGTCTGTTTTTTCCCTAGACTTCATGTTGGACTTTGCCAGGTCCATAAGATCAACCGTGAGCGGTTGTGACAAGGAGATCCTTCTGAAAGAAAGAATGGCCTCAGGAGAATATGATTCACTGCAGACCTGATAAAAAATCTACAGAACTCTCTGTCACTATCAGTCTTGAATTCATTTTTTGTTGAAGTTTTCATTTCTCTTCAGTTTGGAGGGCAGGAGGAGGGAAGCCTTAAAAAGGAGAACAAAGACATTACCATAATAGCTATAAAGCTGGCTGGCCTTATGTCATTTAAGGGTAAGACTTCTTTTTATTACTAAGTCATTAAAGTATAGAAAATAAACCTGGACAGGCTAGCTCCATTCCATACTTCTTTTAGGACTCTACCTGTACTTCATATCCAGACATCATTTATGCTTAGGGATCAGATTGAGACCCATGTTGGAAAAAAAAGAGAGAACACTGTCATTTAATAAAACATAAAACAACAAAGGTGGAGGGGACTAATGGGAGAAAGTAGAATAGTGAAGAGGAAGGAACTGGGAGCTCTCTGGAACAGCTCTAGTTTCTTTTAAGTCTAAAAGCTTAAGGTATCCCTTAGATAGTGGGGGTCCTACTGAAACTGATGGAACTGGATCAGACTCACCGCAGGAGGAGTCAGATGGCTCTGCAGAGGTGCTCATTCTCCCTTATTGAGTATAAAAACAGGGATCTCGGGGTTGATATGAAAGAGTTAAAAATGTTTTGGACATTTGAACAAATTAATCCCACCCTAGTAATGTGATTGCCAATCATGATAATCATATCCAGATTTTTGTGGCCTGGGAAGCTCTTTATAGAGGAGGGCGGTATTGCTAGTGCTTTTTTAAGGCAAGGAAATCTGGGTAAAGCAAAGCAACTGGCCCAGCAACACTCAGGCACTGACAGAAGTGCCAGGAACACAGTCCAGGTCTCCTTGTTCCCAATCTGGTGAACTTCACAGAGGTGACTAAATATCACCATCTTCATGCTGTAAAGGGCAGAACCTGAACCCTAAGCAAAATGGAAAGTCATGGGACAAGTTCCACTTTTTGTTTCTCCACTAGCTGAGATTCCAGACCTGGCTCCAACACTGTCCTGAGACTCTGAGAACTCGCCCATTCCTTGTATTGCTGTTTCTCCTGATTTCTACACTGTTTGTTCCATCATTTGTGGGGGAAAAAAAAAGCAACACTTGTTTCTCTACTCTGAATTCTAGGCCATTATGCTGAGTTGAACTTTTCAGGATTGAAGCAGATCCCACTGCAGTGGCCTTGCCATAGGCACACCCTAATTAACAGCAAAAAATTCCATATGTTCCACCCTTCCTGCAAACCTGACTCTTCTGTGACCTAAACACTCTGAACTGTCTCATGGAGGAGAGTTTTCTCACTGGGGATGACTTTGACTTGTGTCATTGCATCTATCCACTTACCTTTGAGGTGTTTTATTTTTTTTTACAAGCCTCTGTGGCTAATTTTCAAAGGCATTTGTTTGCTTCACTGAGTAACCCAAAGTCTGTTTTCTCTTTCTCCATCCCACAGTAAAGTTTTAATGTTGAATTTATGACATTGCAATTATTTTCATGGCAACAGACTGTGGCATCATAAAATGGGATTATGATGACTTCACTGCAGGATCAGACAAAAGTAGCAGCCAAGTTCCTTTCCTGGGGAAAGGAACGTTCTTTTTTTTTAAGAAAACATAAATACCTTCAAAAACAATAGGAGACAAATTGTTGTTAAAGTCAAACTGCTGGTTGCCTAAACAGGCTTTGTTATCTTTTCTCCAGTGAGCAAAACCTTGCAGGGATGATAGGTAAATCTCTGAGAAACTCTCAAATCTTAACACTTTTAGTGTTTATTTGTAGCTTATTTAGATCTATTTGGATTTTTTTTTTCACTGGGGAGGGAAAGGTTTTGAAGTCTCCAAAGAACTGGCTCTTACCAGAGATTTCCATTTCCATAACTATTAGTATTCTATTATTTGTATGGAACCAGAGGTGTGCATGGTACTTTACAGATAAATAAAAT